TTTTTTTTTAAAACTGAAATCAATCTCTGAATAAAACTACCAAACGCATTTAAGAAATAATTTCAAAATGAAAATGAAAACGTTTTCATTTCTATTTTCATACAAAAAACAAAAACATTTTGAAACCAATTCCAAACGCACCCACTGAGTGATCATTTTAAAAATTACCGTAGTGTACCAATTCAACTATATTGTCCTACTGGTAGTAGGATTTCTTTATCATTTATACATAAAATGAAAAAACCACCAGTAGAATCTTAAAAAAAAAAAGGCTGCTTAGTGAATAACTTAGGCAGTTTTTATTCAAAAAATTGATTATTATCATTACAAAAATTACTGAGTGGTCATTTCAAAAATTATCATAGTGTACTAATTCAACTACTTTGTTCTGCTGGTAGTAGGATTTCTTTAGGGGTTTATACAACAAATGAAAAAATCACCAGTAAAATCTAAAAAAAGAATTGCTTGGTGAATAATTTAGACAATTTTTAATTGAAAAATTGATTATGATCATTATAGAATTTACTAGTGATCATTTCAAAAATTACCGTAATGTAATGTGCCAATTCCACTACTTTATCTTACAGCTAATAGGATTTCTTTGAAAAAATTACCGGTAGAATCTAAAGATGTAGTACACATTTACACTAAAGATTTGAGATCTTTGATTCTTTTGAGAAGGAGTGTGCATGGGTATGATTGAAGTAATGAAGTTTTGCTTTCTCTGCTGCCAATTATTCAAGTACGAGCTCTAGAAGGTTTTTTTTTTTTTTTTTTTTTTTTATGAATAAGCTCTAGTAGTTAATATTATAAAAAAAATATAATAAGTAGCACAAACGCCTTACAAATTATTTTTGACAACCAATACGTTGTAAATTTATTGTTGCAACTATTAATCATCACATTGACATGTAATTAATTATTTTTGTTAATTCCTCTTTTGTCTAATAGTAATTCTAACAATGACCGCAAGGTAATTATAACAATGACCGTTTTTGTTACCATACATAGTAATAGATCACGATAACTTTCAATACCTACTATCGACTGTAAAATAGATCATGAGAAGAAATCAAGAACCTTGCTCATATAAAGTTGTCTTATATAACATTTCAATTAATATCAATTCAGTTATCCAAAATCAGTGAAACCAATAGCTACTCAACATCTTTTTCTGATACGTTAAGCTCCAGAACAACAAAAGTTCCAGCGACTTCACTGCTGTATGACTGAAAGATTAACGCTGCAGAGATTCGGCCTTGGGAGGGCCAGCGACGGCGATTTGTGGAAGGTGTTCGTCTTCGACGACCGGATACGGTGACGGAACTGGATCGTGGCTCGTGTCCCCAAGCGCCAGATCTTCGTTCACCACCGCCACAACCCTGGATCTCTGTCGTCGAAGCCCTACTCCTGCGCACGTCCACAGCAAGCCGAGTCTCACACCACCCCACCGCCGTCGTGACCACCTGACTCCACCAACATTCTCCGTCGTCACAACCCTGTCCCGTTTCGTGGCAGCATATGAAGAGAGAGAGAGAGAGAGAGAGAGAGAGAGAGAGGGTGTTTCAGAGGGGAAAGAGAGAGAGAGTGGGTTTCAGAGGGAAGAAAGAAAGATCTGGTTTATGGCTATGCAAAGGGTATTTTTGACAATGTACTTATGTGGGACTCTTTGGTCGTGTTTATAATTGATTCCGTTTTAATTTTTTACGTTTTTCAAGAAAAATAAAATAAAAACGTTTTCAAAATAACGTTTGGCGTAATAAAGATAAAAAACAGAAATGAAAACGATTTTTTGGTTTAGTGTAAAATGAGAGAGAAAAGAAAAATAACTTTTAGTCGTTTTTCATTTTTTGTTTTTGTTTTCTCCTCTCTCGAGCAGAGAGAAAGAGAGAGAGACATTAATAAGTTTTTTTATACTGAAAAATATCTCTTGATAAAACTACCAAACACATTTTCAAAAATAATTTATGTCTGAAATTGAAAACGTTTTCATTTTCATTTTCATACAAAAAACAAAATCATTTTAGAGCGAGTTTCAAACGCGCCCTTTATTGCTCAAGTGATAGTGTTAGAAATAAAAGTCTGAAAAAACAGTGTTGGTTGTAAGATAATTGTTTTAATCAGTGTTATTTTTGTAAATAACCCTTAATTAAATTAAATTAAATTAGTATAAACCTCGTTTTCTCCAAAGTCTTTCCGTTCTTCCCCGCAACTTGTGATCCTCAATGCAGTTAATTCCATGATACAATGTGGGTGGCTTGGATCTCTTTCGTGAGAAATAATCAGAATGAAACTGAAAAATTTAAAAGAAAAAAAAATTAAATATGTATAAGACGAGTTGAAAGTCCTTAAAGGATATTTTTCAATTTATAAACTAATATTGGCAACCGTGTGTTTATGCAAGAGAAATAAATATTAATCCCTAACGCCGCCGTGTGTTTGGGTAAGTTGTTTGCCTGTTTGGTGCGAAAAAACGAGGAGAAAGTTTTTTTTTTTTTTTTTGGTTTAGTAAAAGAGAGAATTTCTTATGGTAGGAAAACGTCGTTTTATTTTTATTTTTTTACCGGCAAAGTACTGTTAATTTTTTTTTTATCAATTTGATCTGTAAATAGAACCAATCACGTGTCGTCCGTCGTAACAATTATGTATATCAAGGGCCGAGCTTTCTTAGGCCAGCTCCTTTTGTATTTTAGCCCAAATGTTAAAATACTCTACAATTTTCCCTTTGCTTGCCCCACTCTCTTTTTTTTTTTTTTTTTTTTTTTTTTTAACGGAAAAAGTATTTCATTAAACTGAATGCATCCATTACATGAGATAATAATATCCTCAATCTTAACTGTCTCTATTAGTAAAATCTGGTGAAGCTTGAGGAGAAAGACTTGTATCGAGACCTAATAATGCGAAAAATTCTTTTGTACACCGATAATAGATGAAGACATCTGATCGAGATTGTTTGAGAGAACATAACATGTAGCACAGGGCGACTAAACAGTCCTCATAGACTAATATAATTTTTCAATTATCACTTCTATCTAACGTTTTTTTTTTCTTTTTTTTTTTTTTTTTTTTTAAAGAAAGATTTCAATTACACCTTCAGCGTTGAATTTTAAATATATTATTACTGAAACTTAAAATCTCAACTAAATAAAAAATCAACTATACTACCATTTATATTTACAAATTTTTATAATCTAAAACTTTTAAGTATTGAAGTTTTAACTCTATTACAAGCTTAGTTCAAACATAAATAAAGGTAAAAAATAGTATACTTTAGTTTAGTTCAAAATTTTGATTCTTTTTTTTTTTAAATAAAAATTTTATTCAGTTCAGGCTCTGTGAAAAAAGTTACTAGTTCCTGTGAAAAAATTTTATTCAGTTCAGACTCTAGTTCCTGTTACTAGTTCTTTTTTTATATAAAATTTTTTATATAACGTTCTATCTGTGACTCTATTTTACGTATTTCTACCGCTTTATACTAAAGAGACATGTAATTAAAAAAAAAAAAACACTAAGGAGACATGTCAGGTGTCGTCATACGAGAAGTGTACTAGTAAATTGCTAAAAGTACGTGACAGATGCATCTAAATTGTACGAGAAATAAAAGTGATTCTTTTTTTCTTTGTTAAGAGTGTAAATATTCTTGAATTGACAAGAGTGCATTAAATTAGTGGATTTATATTATGATTCAGATTATAATTTATAATTTATTATAATTTTTTTTATTAAAAAATTATATAAATTAAAATTAATTTTAATTTATAATTTTAAATTTATAAATTAAACGTGCACTTAAAAATCACACAATTAATAATTGATAAATTTCAGTACTATTTGCATGCCCGTACAAGTGGTACTACATTCACATGGCACGTACAAACATGTGTCACTCCCATGCAATTTCTCTTTCTGAATCATCTTATACATAACACCAAAAAAAAAAAAAAAAAAAGAACTTATTACTAACCAAAACCCTAATTTCGTCACAAGATTTTGAGGGGAAAAAAAAATGTCCTCCATTTCTGCAATCTCAAACACCGTTCTCAAAAGAACCATCCCATTTTGTTCAAGAAGATCAATTTACACAATTATTAGTACCACTCCAATATCACATGCATCACTACTACTCTCTAACGGTGCAATTTCAATAAGAAAACATGTGATTACTCGTAGTAGTATCCAAGATCTTTTAATTATGGCGTCGCGGGACCCACCGGAATACCCCACCAGGATCCCGCCGGAGATTCCCTCAACGCCGCCGCTGAAGCACGATCCCTCTTCGGTCCCACTCGAGGTGCCGCCGCTCACCACCTCGCCGCAGGTCGACCCCGGCGAAGCCCCGTCGGAGGTGAAAGAGAATCTTCCGCCGTACGGGACCGAGGCGAGGCCGGAAATCGAGTTCCCTAAGCCGCCGGTATCACCACCACCGAAGCCGGACGTCCCGCCGATGCCGCCCGGGCCGGATATCTTGCCACCGGAG